GGGTTTAGGGTTTAGTGTCTAGGGCCCTTTTCAGGGGTTAGGGGGTTATATATGGGAAGATGGGTCCCTTGAAAGGGTTGAGGGGGGTGTTTACTGCATAGCTTTATTCGGGTTATAGTAAGGAGACCGCAAGGTTTGAGGTTAGTAGCTCAGGGAGCAAGCACAAAGAGCTTGGAATTTAGGACCGCAAGCCCCAAATCCGAATAACTAAACCTTAGACCTTTAAGGGTCTAGGGCATGTGAGGGCTCATGCTCTGAAATCAAGGATACTGGGCATGGGGCAGCATATGTTCAGGGATATAGTCCCCCTTAAGNNTAAGTAGATAGAATATGGCTTGGGCTACATTATAATAAGATCCCCATATACCCCATATTCTATCTACTTAAGGAGGACTATATGTGGTTTTGGGGTTGGAGTGGCTCCGGGACCATAATCATACCCACTAATTAGGTTATATGGGTGGTTGTCAAAATTATGGTCCCTTTTTGGGTCCCTATTATATTACGGCCCCTAGTATTTAGGGTACCAAAAAGGGACCATAATTTTGACAACCACCCATATAGTTTAGGGGGTACTGGGCTCTTGTAGAACATTTTTTACATTTTCATGGATACCTGGGCCGAATATCAATAAAACAAGATCTCTTTTAATGGAATTTCAACAAGAACCCAGTTTAGGATTATATAGTGGTATGTAGGGCTATACTGTGAAAATGAAGAAGAACATGGAAACTACCATATTCGTATACAGGGTTTAAGCTGTAGGGTTCGGGGTTGAGGGACCTAGGATCGGGGAGGGGAACGTCAGGGGGCTGTGGTGTCCTGTTCTGTTTTCTGGTCCGCATGTATGTAGTTCTGATGGTGAGGCGCACTCATAGCCCCTAAACCCTAAACCCTATAAACTCTAAACCCCCAAACCCTATAAACTCCAAACCCTAACCCGCTTCTGCACTTTAGGCCTGCCGACCATGTGCGCAGTCGTGCCGGTAATATGCACTCAGTACCTAGACCTCCATCTCCCAGATGCCTGACACAAGATGCTGGTCTTTTAGGGTTTAGGGCTTTAGCCACATAATAACAGTTTGTAGGCTAATGGCTAGTACTAGGTAAATGGATACGCCGCAATATAGACCCCAAAGTGACTACCATGATCCTTGCCATTGGAGCCCCCGAAAGGGATCGAATTTCTGGAAATCCCTTGTGGGAATTTGGGAGGTTTAGGTGCTTCTACATGCGCCATCTTAATTTTTTAGTGTCCCTCCACGATGACAGCATCCTAAACCCTAATCCATAAGAGGATTCGTGTAGCTGTCATCCCCCAAATCCGGACCCTATCAGAGTCATGTCATACTGCGTGGGTTTAGGTTAGGGTTTAACCCTAAACCCTACACCCTCCTGAATTTGATGGTTTGGGGCATCCAAAGCCCTCCCAGGTGGCGACACAAGCGCTCACCAAGCAGCGAGGACACCGTTGCCGGGTGTGTGTGTGTGTGTGTATGGGCCTACGTACCCAAAGGGTCCATGTAGGTGTATGGGATATACTTGGGCCTTAAAGTAGGTATAGGGGAACCCCTTTGGGCCCTAAGTATATACCATATACCTACATGGACCCTTTGGGGTAACTACAGCTGCAGTTCACTCGGTCGAAGTCTGCCAGCCTTGTCAGCCCCGTACTTCAAGCCAGGACTTTGGTTGTGAGGTACTGAGGTACTGATATTGAGCATCTTGAAGGGGCAAAAGGACCCTGGACTCAAGATCTTGCCCTACCGGCCGATTCCTTTGTTGGAACGTGACACGACACCTACCTGTACTATGATGTGTATATATATTTATATATACTCATGCCTATTGTGGTTATGTAGTAGGGCTTCTATGCTTTCCTCTACACCGAGCTCCCTGCGCAGGACAATGCGACTGCAGAGGGCCTCACGTTTGTTCCGACTAGCACGTATCGGACGACTTGCAAAATTAACCGCTATGAAGTCGCGACTCGGCTTGAAAGGGTTCAGTTCCTAGGAATGTCATAAATGTCAGGGTTTAGGGTTTAGGGTTCCTCTTGGGGCAGTTTTAGCTGTGCGGACCTACATGCGTCTTAGGATGCAGTAGGGTCTCCCGTCCGACTTTCTGAAAAGTGGGTGTCAAACCCAAGCAGGCTGCTGTGTCGGGAGCATACACGGGGTCCCTACTAGACAGAAACTCCCACGCAGCTCAAGAGAGTCTAGGGCGATTCCGTGCATACACAGCACAGGATGGTTTCGGTCCGAACCCAGGAAGCAAGTAGGTACGTAAAAAAATACGTGAGACAATCCAGCATTCAATTTCATTACTGGATATAAGAGCAGAGCTTCAAAGCAGGGAGGGAATTCGCTATTTTCCAGAAGCTACCTTCAGGAGCCCTTTGTGGAAGTGGCTGCAGACTTTGCGGGGAGTGCGGATCATCAACGTGTTGGTTGGTTTATTTTTCTCCGTGCATTTGCTGGCATGTGGCTGGTACATGTGTGCTTCACTGCATGCCGACGTGGAGGCTGGCGAGGGTTTCCATGAATGCCGAAACTTGCCCAGTAGACTCTTCCAGACTAGACAAACTGAACCAGCAGACCTATGCACTTTTCTGTATTCAAAGGTAGACGTTAGCAACAGAGGCCATGTTCTGCAGCATCCATGGTTACCCTAAACCCTAAACCCTAAACCCTAAACCGTAGTGTAGTCCTGCCCTTTGCAGACAACCTGGCTTGCGCGGAGATATGTGGATGCAGACGGTACGAAGAACCTCCTGGATGAGAGCGATCCGGGTCTACAGTGGCTGCATGCCATGCGAGTCGGCTGCAGGTAGTTCCGAGCAGGATCAAAAGCAACGACAAGAAGAAATGGTAGTTTCCCAAAATAAGGGAACCCCAATATGGACCCCAAAATACTATAGTCCTTATTATAGTGACCCCCAAAATGGTACCCCTAATTTTGGGAAACCCTCAAATGGGTCTGATCTACATCCTACTTGGAGCTTGCATGTCCTTCTCCTGGGCTAGGCCACAGCCGACAAAGGGCCAGGATGTCTAGGGACGGCAGATTTACGTTGGTAGCAAGCACCTAGACTTTCAGGACTCAAGGTAAGATCATTTTGAGGTCCGGGTATGAGGCTTGCCGAAAATTAGGGGTCGGCTCTGGAGAGCCCCTACAGTAGGCATAAGAGTATATTTCGGAGCCCCGCATTGTTGGAGACCCCCGCATGCGTTAGCAAGTTCTCATTGGCGCAGCGGCTTCATCCCAGGTACTTCATTCTGACGGTTTTCACCACCGTAGGCGCGATTGCGAAGAAGCCAGGGCAGGTGGTTTAGCGGTTCTGCAGAAGGAAGTAAGGGCCTACTATCAGATGATGGCGGTGCCGCTCCTTTCTCTCCAAAAAGAAAGCCAAAAGGTAACCTTCTCCGAAGCTTTACACCTCTTGGGACCGGCAAAGCAGTAAGGCTGCAGATGTAATGTATGGTTGACGGGGAGGGATGCTGAGATTTCCCGCTGGCAGCCCGTCACAAACAAAGAAGGGCCCGGCCCAGTCTATACAGATTTCAGAATCGTTATAGGCGAAAAGAAGTCCAGAGAGTTTGGATTATAGGGCGTCCCGGGATTAGATTCAGGGCGGGGTGCTTCACAGTCCTTGGGGCTTCAGAAAGTTTAGATGTCATTCGCTGTTGTTTTGCAAGGGCCCCATGTTATGTTTGCTCATGTCCCCAGTCTTGTTCTTCTTGGTGCCTCTGCTCAACGCCATTTCTTTTATCTCGGCTTTTGCGCGACTTCTCTTACTATGATATGCTAAGCCCTGAATAGAACCTAAACCCTGTGTGAACCCTTTCTTGAAAGATGCCTCAATCATGTCAGGCTTCGGCGACATCGCTGCAGTCACACCAGGTGAGGGACTCGGACGAATTCTGCATGGGCCTAGCAACTTAGAATGAGGTCTTGAGGTGCAGTTGAGGTATGGTATACGGTATACCATACTTGCATTTGCCGTATAGGTCAGGAACTTGACCTCCAGCAAATAGTGTCGACCTCAGTCAAAGTGTTTTCCAGGATTAGGACTTTTCACTTGGCCTGTTACTACCTAAACCCTCCACCTACCCTCTAATAGGGCCGAAGTACCCGCTATTGGGGTCCATATTTCCCCACTTGAGGGTACAAGGAAGGCGTTGGTAGAAGCTCTTCAGAGTCTCAAAGTCTTACTGCTTGCGACGAGGCAATAGAGGAATGGATCCTTGTAATGTGCATTTTCCAACCCCC